CCATACCCTAAATTTGTTTAATTTTCCCCCACTTCTCAGCTTCAAACTACACATTCCACTACCGAGCACCTTCCAGAATCAAGGACAGGATCCGGACATGAAATGCACGAGCAGCTATGTCAGACTGTGTTCTTGGCACAGTCTAGCGAGGAAGTTTTCTCTCCTAAAGGCTCCTTAATAGTAGTGGTTAAATATCTGCATACCCACACTTGCCTAGCACTCATAAGGCCCTGGGTCCAAGCATAACCCCACAAACACCTGTATTCCCAAGACCTTACAGGTACTCAGAATCGACCAAGATACTTAGGTATGAGATATGCGCAGCTAATAAGGACTTTATGGGTGGGAAAATGAAGTCTAGAAACTAAAAGTTGAAGTCAATCAATGAAAGTCACAGAACTGGCTTGAAATCCTAGCACAGAAAAAAAAAGTCATCTTTGACAGCTGCCCACCCAGAGCAGAGCTCATCTCGTCATTCAACCCTACCTACCACATTCCCCACAGCCACCTCTCTCGTCTGGTGGTCATGAGCCCATGTCCTCTCCCTTCTCCCTGCCCATTCAAGGCTCACCAGACCCTTCTCTTGCCCTGAAGAGTACCTCAGACTCACACCTACCCTCCACTGTCTTCTGACATCTTCTAAACTCCTACATCTCACCAGCCGTCCAGGCAGCTGTGTTTTCTCCCAAAGCCCTAAACCTCAGGACCAGAGATCTTGGCTCTCTCACCTACCAGCTAAGCAGTCATTTCACTCCTCTGAGCCTCATTTTCTTCATCTGTAAAGTGGGAAGGACAACTTATGCCAAAACAGCTGGAAGAAAAAAACGATCCTTGCAGAACTGCTTTTAGGTATTGTCTTAAAAAATTATTTTTATTTTATGTGCATGTGTGCCAGAGTGCATGGATGTGCACCACAAGCATGCAGGAGTCCATGGAGACCAGAATAGGGTATTAGTTCCCCTGGAATTAAAGTTACAGGCTACTGTGAGCCACTATGTGGGTACTGGCATCCAATCCTCAGTCCTCTGCAAGAACAATAGCTGCTCTGACATTTTTTAGAGATTTATCTATTTGTTATTTGTATATGTATACACATATGTCTATGCATCACATCGCAGGCATACTTGGTGTCCACAGTACCAGAAGAGTCTCAAATCCTTGAGACCGGAGTTGCGGACAGCTGTGAGCTGCCATGTGGGTGCTGGTAATCAAACCTGGGTCATCCGGAAGAGCAGCCAGTGCTTTTGGTTGCTGAACCATCTCTCCAGTCCCAACTGCTGTTTAAAGCATTAGCCTGTGGCTGCTATTTTTGCATACCCTTCCCTTATCCCCAGAACATACTTTTTTTTTTTTTTTGCTGCTGCTGCTGATGTCTTGAGATAGGGCCCCACAACAACCTCAGGCTCTCTATGAAGCTGAAGCTGGCCTTGAACTCCTGACCCCCTGGCTCCACCTCCACTTGGAATTACTAACATGTACCACCATTCCCAACATATGTACATACTTTAAAAAAAAATCACAATACTGAAAATCATGTTTACTCTTTACCACAATACTACAGAATATCCACTAAAACTTCAATGTGTCAATTTATCATTTTTTCCAAACTAAAATGACTAAGTCCTACCTGCTGATTATTGGCTGCCTAGCAACAGGGACCTTTCATCATCCTCATGATCAAATTTATTTTTCTTAAGATCTATTTATTTATTATGAGTACTGTGTGTTTGCCTGTATATATGTATCTGTAGCACGTGCACACCACAGAGGCCAAAAAAAAGGTGTCAGATCCCCTGGAACTCCAGTTACAGATGGTCATGAGCTGCCGTGCGAACACTGGGAACTGAACTTGTGTCTTCTGCAGGAGCAACACATGCTCTTAACAGGAACCATATATCCAGCCCTTCAAGCGTCTTTCAACAGGCAAGAGCGGACTACGGCCTGGGAGGGTATTTTTCCTTCACAGGTCATAAACCAGTCACATCACATGGCCTCTTCAGATAGAAAATGCTTGTCTGACTTAATTATTCTTCAGTGAACAGAAAGATAGTCCAGTTCACTGAGTCTCTACAGTGTTCCAGATAAGATACCAGTTGCTGGTAGATATCACCCCTTCAAACCACAGCACTCTAAACACAAGTCTCCCTGTCACCCTTCCCTGCTTTTCGCTCTGCCGGTCACTCTTGGGTTCTGAAGGTTTCCACAATCTTCTGAGGTTCTACAGCCAAGGTCATTCATCTCAGGCCACATCTAGCACATTTATTTATTTTTTACAGTCATTCAAATACCCGTATGTCCCTTATTTCCCCTTTTGACATTCTGCCCTTTATACCTACCAGCTCTATACCTACCAGCTTCCCTCCCCAGGCCTACAAAACCCTCAAGTTCACTGGCTTGAACTCAACACTGGATTGAAAAATGAGTGTGGACCACAGTAAAAGAACACTTGAAGATGGGGGCAAAAAGAATCCCAGCACCCTCATCCGCCAGATCAGAGATGCCTGCAACTTTGCGTGAAGGGACCAATGTCATCCTCCACAGGCACCCACATACACAAACATGTATGTATTCACTCACACAGACACATGCACACACATATATACATAAAACAAAACCTTTTCAAAAAGAGAGGGGCTGTCTGAAGAGATGACTCAGTGGTTAAGAGCACTGGCTGCTCTTCCAGAGGACCCAGGTTTTAGTGCCAGCACTCACATGGAAGCCCACCACTGTCTCAAACGCCAGTTCCAAGGGATCCTACACCCTCTTCTGGCCTCTGGAGATGCAAGGCATACAAGTGGTGTATAGACATACATGAAGGCAAAACAAACTCATACAATTGAACAAAAAATAAAGAGATACTTGAGTGAGCATCAGAGAACAAAGTGTCACAGAAATAGAAAAAGACTTTCAGGCCCCAGGATCCATGATTACTTATGAAAGACACTGAACCAAAAAGAACAAAATGTCCCTAAAGTACCAGTTAACCAACAGAAGAAGCCTCAGTAAGTTCATGGGCCCCTCTAAAGACTTGAAAAGTAGGTTATAAATTCATATGCAAAGAGGAAAATAAGCAAACCTCTACTGCCTGAACTAGTCAGACCCATAAGGGCAATTCAGATCCCTGTTCACACAACCTGCTAACCCAGCTTTAATGTGTGGGTGTCTTGTTTGCCTGTACATCTGTGCACCATTTACATACCATGTATATAAAAGGGGCCAGAAGAGGGCAACCAATCCCCTGGAACTGAAATTACAGCCAGTTGTGAGCCACTAGACAGTTGCTGAGAACTGAACCTGGATCAGCAGCCAGTGCTCTTAACCAGTGAGCCAGCACTTCAGCCCCAAAACATAGTTTTAAAAGACACTAATCAGCATTTTTGACTGATCTCTTGGCATAAGTTCCTGCCTTGGGTGAAAAGCCAAATTGCTTGTTTATTACTTACTGCTTGCAATGTTAGAGATCAAACCTAGGATTCTGTGTGTGCTTAGCTAGCTCAACCGCTGAACTATGCCCCAGTCTGCATGTGGCTTTTTCAGTAAGGAAACTTCTCAGTGGCCACTTCGCCTGTGCTTTTCCTTCTGGGGCATGCTGCCTATCTCTGGCTCCTTATAGTATTGACGGGTGATCTGAATACTATACACTATACTACCAACAAGATTTCGGTCTTGTCAATTTAATATAGCGAGAAAACAAGAGCCAATGTAAGGAGACGCTGCATATCAACAAAGACAGTTAAAAATTGAGAACTTGGAAAGTCCCACCACATCTTATGCCCAAACACTCGCGTGAAAGACAAGAGATAAGGTCAAGAAGAGTCTCTGGCAAAGTCACTACTGGAGTCCAAGTTTCCGGGTTCTAGGGGAGTGTTTATCAACAAGCAGTGCGGCCGTCCAGTCTCCCTTCTTTCCTAGGAGACTCTGCGACCCGTGCCATCCCCCTGCCAAGACAGTCACCTTCCCGGAGCGCCTCCCCCATTCCAGTCCCTCCTACAGCCTGGCGGAGTTGCAGCTCAAATTAGAAGTCGTGCAGCTTGGGACATTTTCTGGGAAGGTGCCCAGCCTCAGAGCCATTGGTACCCATGAGTAGAGACGGGGAGGAAAGAAAGAAGTGACATTCCACAAAGGCTCTGGGAGAAAGAGGCCCTTGGAGAAGACTGCTCGCGGTGACATCTCCCACCCAATACGCAAGGGTAAGCAGACCAGCACGGGCACTACTTCTAGGGAGAGACTGGAAAAGCTGGGCCCTGATGGGTAGGGATGCAAGGGGCCTCTCAGAGTCCAAGTTGCACCTCAGGGGAGGCTCCGGGCAGGGTGAGGTGGCACCGGCGTTAGGCAGAGGCCTCGTGACAAGGATGCCTGGTCCACCTTTGAGATGACACCGCTTATTGGCAGAGGCCCAAGCCGCACGTGAAGTGATATCTGTGCGGGGAGGAGGCCCCGGACCTCACCAGCCCGGCCAGCTGCTCTGTGGCTCACTCGACGTCTGCCCCACGCGCGGCCTTACCAAGACATTGCCCTACAGGGGTGCTGAACGGATTCCCCAGCAGGAACTCCATCTCTGCAGGCCTCGTTCCGGCCCGGATGCCTGTCTGCCACGGGTCTCCGCTGCCCGCGCCGCGCTCTGCCCTGACTGACACTTGCCCCCGCCCCACCCTCGGGAACGCCGAGCGCCGGCCTGACCTCGCCCTCTGGGTGCATCCCTATTGGGCAGCGTCTCCCCAGACCGCCTCCGATTGGACGGCACGCTGCTCTCGGTGAAGTCCCACCCACCCCGCAGCGTCCGATTGGGCACAAAGCAAGCTAACTCACTGGAGTCCCCGTCAGCCGTAGCGGCACAACCCTCTGGACCCGCCTCAAAACGGGGTTCCTTTCTTTTGATTCGTTAGCCTGTTTGTCAGTCTAGAAAATCCTTACTATGATTTGACAAAAGACATGTCCATCATCCAAATAACGATAGCGTAACTAGAAGTTGCGGCGCATTGACGGTGCTGATTGGAGAGACGTTTGTTTTCTTCAAGGCTGGTTGGTGTTAGAAGCTTTTCGCCACCCAGAAATGTGGTCACGTGATACGTCAACTTTCACCTAGGATATTTATTGCCTGACTTCCCCTTAGCAACAGAGTGGCGGGCTTGGTTACCCAGCAACCAACCAAGAGACGCGTCCACTTCAAGGAGAGTCCTTAGAAAGGTAAGAAGCAAGAGGCTAGACTCCAAGACGACTCTAAGATCAGAGGTTGCGTGATTCAATTCTGTCTTTTAACTGTTCTGTAAGGACTCCGCCCTGGCCTTTCTCATTTGTAAAGTGAGCACATCTATCATTTTACACTTGTACTGAGATTTATCAGTCCTTAATAGAAGAAAATCATCACGTATAGCTCCTAAAGCCCGCAAAAGCTGGAAGGAAGAGGGTCCATCTGCCAGTTTCCTGGCCTGATCAGTTTCATAGACAAAGAGGTACCCGGTCCTCTTGATCTGAAGTAAGTTACTTCATTTGGTCCTGTATGAAGGGCTTAGAAGGAGAATACAGAACCTGGGGTTCCATAGCAGTCTCTGTCAGTAATTCACAGTAATTTCCCCAAGGCCTCAGTTTTCCTCTCTGGGAAGTAAGTGTTCTCCCGCTATGTTACACTGGGGCTCCCTTTTCAGGAGCTCCCAGCGCTGACATGCAATTATACAAGTTGTGTGCACCGAGAGTTAAACAGCACTCAGTCCGTTGCTGTTATTCTCGTTATGTTATGGCCAATAGGATCTACATGGTGCTTCAGGCCCAACTGACCCAGGTTGTTGTTTCCCAGGAAACCTGGACTTTTGTCCCATGAAGAGGCTACCTGGTTGATTTGCAAAGCAGTTTTCTGCTGTTTCTCCACATCCTACCTCTGGTCTTCACCAAGGACACTGTCATCAGGCAAGTCAACCAGACCCCTGTTTGGATAAATTATTATTATAATCCCCATAGGAGAGGATTCTTTGGGTCTTGTCCTAAGAAAAATTGTTAGAAAAATGAGCTGTGATCATGGTTGTTCCTAGTTTGCTGGTTACAAGGGAGTCACGATTAGGAAAATTGGCTCTACTACAGACTAGAAGTCATGCCCTTTGATAAATCTGCATGTTGGCCGATCTAGAAAAGCCTCAATGTTAAAAAGATCCCTACTATGTCCTTTCATAGTTCTGCAAACCCACTTGCTCGTCGTTGTTTGGAAGTAAATATTGGGACGATTTATTTAATTCAAGTCTGAAACAGCAGAACCTCTCTGTCTGAGTTATTCCCAGCTGTTGCTCTCACCCCCAGAAATCAGGTCACACCCCTTCAGTATCCTTTCTCAAGGTTGGTTATAGAGAGCTGCTGGGATCTTGTAGCTCTCACAAAGCTCTCTCCCACACACACACATCAGCTGTGAGCAAGCCCAACTCCCCCATACCTGGGCTGAGACAGACTTCAGTTGGAACTGTGCTCTCTTGTCTAGGCTTTCCAGACTAGGTCAGGCCAGATTGCATGGTACAGAACTAACAAACACACACACACCCAAAAAAAGAACAGTATGAGTCAGAAACGTCCTTTGTTCTCTGGGTCTGATGAAGCTAATGGAAAGGAAAGGTTTGTTTTTGCCTTCCGGGCTCCTCGTGGCTGCCTAGACCATGACGCCATCTCCTCTAGTGCTCACTCACTCCAGGGCTCCTCATGGCTGTCTGTGGCATGACCCTTGAACTCTCCTAGCGAAGTTCTGAGGGACAATTTATTTTTCTATTAAACTTTCCCCCACCCCACTCTCTAACACTATTATTGGGTCAATCAATCACTTAGCTTGGGCACAACCTACCAAACTAGATTCTGTCTCAAACTGGGAGTGATTAGTCCCACATATAAACATAACTCCTCCCTTCCTCCCTCCCTCCCTCCCTCCCTTCCTTCCTTTCTTCCTTCTTTCTTTTCTCCCTCCTTCCCTCCCCCTGCCCTCCTCCCTTCTTTCTTTCTTTCTTTCTTTCTTTCTTTTTTGAGACAGGGTCTCTCTGTGATAACTCTAGCTGGCCTGAAACACACTATGTAGACCAGGCTGGCCCAAACTCAGAGATCCACCTGCATCTGCCTCCCAAGTGCTGAGTTTAAAGGCGTGTGCTGCTCCCAGCTAGACTCACTTCCCTTTGTAATTCTTGGCACAGCAGTTATAATTGTTTGGTTGGAGCCTCTGGCTCACCCCTGCATTGTCCTGGAAGCCCCATTCCCTCCCCCTTCTCCCCATCTCTCTCTCCAAACCCTGACACTCAGTCTCTGAACAAAGGAAGTTCCCTCATTCTTAATGGCTACTGCGACTTCCTTCCCTGAAGTTGCCTGCTGACCAAATCCCCACCTAACCACTCAGCTTTTGACCATACTTGGGCAAAAACCCATCTTGTGGTAGAAACATCATCACTCCTACAGCCTATAAAACTTTCCTACCTGCCTTGGTGCGTGACTTCTCTGGCCTCCATCTCTGGGATCCGAGAACCTGCCCAGGGGAGTTGCTTTGCCCAATATACCTGTTGTTATACTTTTTCAATTCAACTTAATCTGGTTTACTGCATCGGCAGAGAAACTTATTATGGGGGAGGGACAGAAAACCCATTAGTAATGAGCTTTCTGAAAGTAAAATCTGATCCATCTCTGCCCTATAAGCTGTAGGAGCTTCCCAGCATCATAGGACAGAAATGCAGTGCAGGCCTGCATCACTTCTGCTTTCCTGCCGGGTGGGAGGGTCTTTTCTTTTCATCCTTCAAACTGTGTCTTCCCTGACCAGGCCAAATGCCCCTACTGCATGCTTTCATAGTTCCCCACACCTACTAACGTTGTTTTTGTTTTCTTTTTTTGAATTTTCAAGACAGGTTTCTCTTGCTTTGGAGACTGGCCTGGAACTCACTCAGTAGACCAGGTTGGCCTCAAACTCACAGAGATTCCCCCTGCCTCTGCATCCCGGGTGCTGGGATTAAAGGCACATGCCACCACTGCCCGCCCTAATTTTTCATTGTTTGTAAGTAAATATTGGTATGACTATTTAATTCATGTCTGAAACAGAAGACCTGTCTGAGCTATTCATAGCTTGTAGTAGTTATTCAGTATGGATGTGTAGGCCAGGCACAAGCTCCTACAAAAATGGGGGAAGAAGGGATTACCTGCCTAACTGGAAAAAGACAAAGGTGGGAGCTGGTGGAGTTATTTTCCAAAAGACACCCGGTCAGAACCTGCCCTGCCCTGGGCGTGAGCGATGAACATGGACAACACCAGTCCTACACTGCCTAGAACCTGCGGAGCTTGACTGGAAGCTAGCTTGGCCGGTCACACCTAATGGACAGTGATGAAATGGAGGTCAAAGTTTTGACACCAGAATTGAGTCATTTCCCAAAGTACAACACCTCTTTTTAAAAAAAGCTCCAAATACTTTCCAGATAACATCTGGCAAATGGAAAACATTAAAATTTCCCCAGAAGTAAATTTGGAGGTTGGTAGTAAATTACAAGAAACTTTAAGGAAAATTATTTAGGAAGATTAGGAAGCTGATGAGCACAAGAATTGTCCTGGGAGGACAGTCAGTCAGTCAGTCACCTGAGGAGGAAGAGTCAGCCGGAGAGAGTAGGGAAACAAGGCTGAGGTTTTGAAGGGTTGGGGGCACAGATGGAGAACAAGCAAGGACCCTGGGAGATATCCAGATCTATTCACCCCAGATAGGATACCAACGGGAGACCAAAGAAACCATCCCATCAAGCATAGCTTGGTGAGCCAGCTCATCGCAATTGCTTGCAGGAGTGACTCAAAGGCAGCTGCATCGCTAAAAAGCCAATCCCAGCATGGGTGACAAATCAGGACAGTTGCATCCTGGAGCTCTCAGCCTAAATTACAAGCCCCGCTATCAAAGACTGTCTTTCCTTCCTCAGAACTTATATATGAACTCTGTTGTTGTTGTTGTTGTTGTTGTTGTTGTTGTTGTTTGGGGTGTTGTTTTGTTTTGTTTTGTTTTGAAACAAGGTCCTTCTACATAGCCTTGGCTGTCCTAGAACTCACTACATAGGCCAAGGCTGGCCTCACACTTTTAAGATCCTCCTGCCTAAGGCATGTGTCACCATGCAAGGCCTTACATAAACTCTTCAGTAGCGGCTTAGTATTGTAACTTTGTGAGCTTCCTGAGTCTTGTGAGTCACTCTCCCTCCAGGAAGGAATGTTTTAATTCAGACTTCACAACATGGGGTTGGGGAACGGAAGGGCCAGGCACCCTAGAGTTACTGACATCAGAATCTTTGCTCAGGGATAGTGAAAGACTAGAAGGTGAATACTTATATATGCTGCATTCACACGGATGACAACAGAGAAAGAGGGAGCAATCTTAGAAGGAAGTCAGGTGGTCAGGGTTCCAGGTGGAGCTGTCGCAGGAGCTGCACTGGCCCTGTGGAATAGAAGGCAGAGGGAAGCCACACCTGAAATCGAGATGGGGAGGACCAGAGGTTCAGAGAGCCCTGGGACCAAAGGTAGAAGGTAAAAAGGAAGGTGAGAAGCAAGTGGGAACAGAGGGGAGGATGGACTCCCAGAGTGTTCAGAGGGCAGAATCTCAGTGGACGGACAGGAGCATATGGCCCCACTTTTCTGGGGTTGGAAATAATCAGAGTGGGGACTGAGCAGCCAGCCCTACAGGGCTGTGATTCCACCCTGCAAAGCAGATCAGTCAAGTACGACTAACCCAATATACAGACTCTGCCTTCACCACCCCCGTGCCTCTGAAGGCCCCTTTGGGCCGTTAGCAACTGACCCTGATCTAGCTTAAGTAACAGAGAAATTAATGCAAGAAATCCACTAACATGTACAGGGTCTGGACTTAGGGAACCAGCAAGTAAACACCTGCTGTGTCTATGTCTATCCTTATCCTCTTCCTGCTGTCCACCTACCCATGTGCCTGGCGAGCGCTAGCTACATAGTTCCTCCCTACATGAGCAGTCAGCTCATTGATCACCCTCATCCTGAGACCCCAAAGTTCCCATTTCTCAAGGAAGAACATGAATGGCCACCTTGAGTCAGTGACTCCTCCATGCATGACTGTCTGCCTGGGGTTGAGGTATTCCCAGAAAGGCCACTGCAGGCTGGCACTTCCCATGATCATTGTCAGCGACTTGAACCAGGAGACCTAGGTAAAGACAGAAGGTCAGAGATTAAGCACAGGAAACCTGAGAACCACAGGCTAAGGAGACCCATGTGGGCACCAGCCCTGTGGGCCCAGGTAGAGACCCCACTGTGGTTGTAAAGTCAAGAAGTGAACCCCAGCAGATGGCTGCTGGGAAGGCTTAGGGCAGCCTTCCAGCAATGTGTTTGCCCCAAGGTACAGCAGGCAAGGGGCAGGAGCAGGCAGCTTGTGGCCTCCTAGCAGTCCATAACACCACGACATACACTGCCCAATTCTGTTCTCAGAGCAAAGGAAAAGTCTGTGAAAGAAGAACTCAACTTCTCAGGGAAGATGAACCGGCCGTATGACTCAATGGACCCGAAGGTGATGGACGATGACATGCTCAAGGCAGCTGTTGGGGAGCAAGGCCCCCAGGAGGAGGCTGGGCAGCTAGCCAAGCAGGAGGGCATCCTCTTCAAAGACGTCATATCCCTGCAACTGGACTTCCAAAGTAAGTGCCTGGGTGCCAGGAGTGTGGCCTGGGGCAGCAGGGCCTCCCTGACTTTCTCTGCCCTATTTCAAATCCCCAGATTTTACAGAGTCAGGGATCAATTCATAGAGTATTGAAACCTACCAGACACAGGGATGGGGGTATGCATGCTGCATCAAATTCGTCCAGAAGCTCCATAATTTGTCCACAATACTCCTGGTTCTGAATAAGAACAGAAAAAAATAAAATAGGATTGGCCTGCTCCAGATTTAAGTGAGCCCCTAGAGACCATGTTTTCTCTAGCGTCTAACTCTGCACTGACTTGAAATGGAGTCCTTCATATGGAATGAAGTCCTTGGAATGGAGGGAATCCCTTGTGGACAGAACCAAAGAGACCCCACATTTCTGGAGTCGGCACTGGAGGGAGTGCTTGGGGGGATGCGTAGGGTGTCCAAAGTGGTTAAGGGCACTGGCTGCTCTTCCAGAGGATCTAGCTCAGTCATCTGTAACTCCAGTCCCAAGGATCCAATGCCTTCTTCTGGCCTCCACAGGCATTATATACATGTAGTACACAGACATATGTACAGGCCAAACCCCATGTATATAAAATAAAAGAAAGGAATATATATATGAACTGAGAAAATTGTTCAGTGGTAGGAGGCTTATGATGCATGAGACTCAATCCCAATACTGCCTAAAAGAGGAGCAGGAGAAAGCAGGAGGTGGCCAACGCTCCTGAGCCCTCTGTTTTCTGAGTAGGTGAGGACCTGATGTCTTAGGCTGCAGCTGTCTAGACATTTGGTCAACATCAAAGGCACAGGGTCCCTTGCCAAATGCTGGAACAGCCAAAAGCAAGAAGACCTGGCCTTAAATAAGTCCACAGGACCCCTGGGTGTGGCCTCCAGTGATGTCCCAGGGTGGCAGCTTCCCTGGAAGGAGTGAATGAGGAGCAGCTACTTCCTCCCCACCTCCCACTCCCCGCCTAATGGGCATTCTGCCAGTGCTGAGCAAGTGCCTAAGAGATGCCAGATGCTGTTCCAGGCACCCAGATTTAGCACAGTCCAAAAGACAAAGAACCTTACCTTTGTGGAGTTGGTGTGAGGGAGACAAAGAAGACAAGGAAATTAGATCGTTACAGGCAGTATGTGTTGTGGGGGAAAAGAAAGCAAAGAAAGGAGAAAAGGGAAATCAGAGTTGGGTGCAGTGTTTTCTACAGTGGCCAGAGCCTTGCTAAGGTGAGAGTTGAATAAATACTTAAGGAGATGAGGAGATCTGACGGCATGTGTGTACGAGAGAGAGAGAGAGAGAGAGAGAGAGAGAGAGAGAGAGAGAGGAAGAAGAAGAAGAAGAAGAAGAAGAAGAAGAAGAAGAAGAAGAAGAAGGAGGAGGAGGGGGTGGGGAGGGAGGGAGCAACCAGTGGGAGGCCAAGAGGTAGGCCAGAGCCAGTCTGAGAAGGCCTGCCGAGGAAGCCAGTGTGCGGACAGGCAGGGAGGTCATGTCGTCAGCAGGTGCTTGCCTTGGACAATGAAATGTATTTGGCTTTTATAGTGAGTTGGGATTGCCAAGTATATTGAGTAGAAACAGGATAGAGTGGGACTTGAGTTTTCACAAACCCCTGCTGGCTACATGCAGGGGCCGGAAGAAACGGGAATCTAGTGAGATGGCTACTACTGTGATGATGATGGCCTTGCCAAGGTGGCGCTCACAGAAGTGAAACTGGTGGCTTCTGGGTGGGAAGTTCATTTGGAGAGGTTGGATATACCCTTGTTCATTGGGGTATCTGGGCCTTTCCATGTCACCTGCTGTTGTCTAAGGGCAAGCCAGGTACAGGTGTGTCATAGCCACCTACCTAAAGTGTCCCAGCTGGAAGCCACCCAACAAAGGGTGAGTCAGGGCTAGGTTTCAGCCTGTCAGACAGCAGGGCCCTAGTAGGTGCCAGGAAAATCCAGACCAGAAATAGGAGGTGGCTAAGAGCCTTGGGCTGAACTGAGTACCACTTCCAGAAATATGTCGAGACAGAAACAGAATTAGTTTGGGAAATCTGGTAGCAAACAGAGACCTAAACAACAGATTCTAGTACCACCTGTCCCTGAGGACATGGAGGAAATAGAAGGAACCACTCCAGCAAACGGGAAAGCAATGGAGATCAGATGATCCTGTGTCCCCCAAGACCTGTGAAGGGTCAAGTAGCCACACACACCAAATCTCAGAACCTCACCAACAGACCCCATCTCTTGGACAAGTGTGAGCTGTCACTAGAATTTTGTTTTGTATTGGGGATTGAAGCTGGGGCCTTGGGCATGCTACCCAGGTGTTCTACCACTGAGTTATGTCTCCAGGCTTGTACCACCTTTTGCCTGGTGCCTGTAGAGGTCAGAAGGTGGTGTTGGATCCTCTGGAACTGAAGGTACAGATGACTGACTATAAACCACATGTGGGGGCCAGGAACCAAACCTGGGTCCTCTGCAAGACTAAACAAGGGCTCTTAACCACCAAGTTGTCTCCCCACCACCTTACCTGCCCCAGGTTCTCTTTTTTTCATTTTGAAACATGCTCTCACTGAGCTGACTGGCATTACACTTGTTAACCTCCTCACTTAGCCTCCTGAGTAGTTAGGATTCTAAGCCTCTAGCTCTAGTCCCAGCTGGATCTTACTGCATACCCCAGGCTAGACTTGCAGTCCTGATACAGGTGTGCACCCCCATGCCAGGCTCTTAATAGTCCTTTGAAAACTGCCTTCACACCTAGATCATTTCATGGCTTTAAATGAGTATAGTCTAAGACTAAAGTTTTGGATTAACGGGGTGTGATGGCTATTCTTGGTTGTCAACTTTACAGCCTCTGGAATTAACTAGAACCCAAATGGCTGGGCACACCTGTGAGGGAATTTTTTCTTAATTAAATCATTTCAAATGGGAAGACCAACTTTTTCTGGTTTTGTTTGTTTGATTGTTTGGTTGTTTTTGTTTTGTTTTGTTTTGTTTTTGAGACAGGGTTTCTCAGTGTAGCCCTGGTTGACCTGAAACTCACTCTGTAGACCAGGCTGCCCTTGAACTCACAGAGATCTGCCTCTGCCTCCTGTACCACCATCACCTGGCAGATTAATTTCTAATCCAGTTCTTTTAGTCTGGGCCACACCATCTGCTGATAGCCTATATAAGGACAAGGAAGCTCTTTTTTTTTTTTTTTTTTTTTTTTTGGCCTGCTTGCCCTTACTCTGCTGGCAAGTCTATTTCTTCACTAGCATTAGAACCCACTTCTTCAGATTCCAGCATATATACTGAAGACCAACTGAGGCATCCAGCCTTATGAACTGAACAACTATTGGATTCTTAGTTTCCACTGTGGCTTCTAAGACTGAACTCAGGTCATCAGATCCCACAGCAAGCACTTTACCTACTGTTCCATCCTTTCTTTCTTTCTTTCTTTCTTTTTTTTTCTTATTTTGAGACAGGGTCTCACTTGTAGTCCTGGCTGGGACTGGTTATGTAGATCAGGCCTCCAACTCACAGAGCTCCACCTGCCTCTGCCTCCTGAGTGTGACAGCCATTGTTGGACTAGCTGGACCACAGCCTGTAAGACATTCTAATAAATCCTGTGTGTGTATACATATATATACACACATACATACACACACATACATGCTAAGAGCCAGTGTTCTATCTCTAGGTCATATATAAAAAGTATCCTGAGTGGGCATTTGGATATATAAACTTTGTGTGCATATATTGTATGTATGTGGGTGCACATGCGTGCACACACATTTAGAGGCATATTTATTTATTTATTTCTGTTCCTCTCTGTGTCTAATACAGAAGGCTAGGGCAATAGCTCAGCAGTTAAGAGCTCTGACTGTTTTGCTAGAGTACCTAGGTTCAATTACTAGCACTCAGTGGTGGCTCACAACTGTCCGTAACTCCCATTCCAGGGGATTTGACACCCTCTCCTGACCTTTAAAGGGCATCACACAGAGCACACACAAGGTATACACACATACGTGCAGGCAAAACACATATACATTTAAAATAAAAAAGTCAGGGTTGTTTTTTTCAGTTTTGGAAAAGGCATAAAAACAAGTAGAGTTTTTTAAGCTGTATTTGCACACAGCAGCAGGACTGTGTGTGGCTTACGAGGAAAGCTGGGAGGCGCTGAATTTGTTCCGCTGACCTCTAAGCTTTACATACTCAATATGGGCTTATTTATACTATTCAGAATGCTTCTTGCTTCCAGTGACAAAAGTCAAGCTTTGGCCATTGTGACCTGCCCAGGGAAAGAATGGCTACATGGCCAGGGCGAGTCCTCTAACTGCAGGGTCTCTTTACTGCCGAGCTGTCTGGGCCCTGCTTTCTGGTGTGTGAGTGATCATCCCGGCAGCTGCTGTTTTATGCTCTCACACCTAGAGATACTTCTATCATGTGTTTGGAGATGGATTTTTTTTTTAATTTGCTGGTCTAACTGGCATGGTGAGGCAAGCCTCTAATCCCAGCACTTGGGAGGCAGAGGCAGGCAAATCTCTGTGAAGGCTGAAACCAACCTATTCTACATAGTGAGTTCCAGGACAGTCAGTGAGACCCTGACCCAAGAAAAAAGAAAAAGGAAGGAAGAAAGGAATGGAAGGAAAGGGAAAGGAAGGGAAGGGAAGGGAAAGGAAGGGAAGGGAAGGGAAGGGAAGGGAAGGGAAGGGAAGGGAAGGGAAGGGAAAGGAAATTTCAGGTCAAAGGGCATAGATGGTAAATATTTCAATAAATGTTACAAAATGGCCTTTCAAAAGTAAAACCAATTGAGTGACCCTCCCACCATGCCAGCCCCTGCTTGTAACCTGTGTTCCAAGGTAGACCTGTTTCCTCAGGAGCCCCAGCCCAGTCCTTGGGGCAGTCCACACTCACCTCCACACAGACACCTGCCTAGCTCTCCCTGTCACATCAGACCTCTCTGATCCTCCTCAGTGGCCCTGGTGACAGTGCTGGTCCTACACTCACCTGCTCCTCCCCAGGTGACTCTATGGAAGGCAGAGAGCTGTGGACATCTGTGG